TGCAGATTATTACATACATGGGTCTGTATGGTAAGGAGACAAGGACCGATCCTGCCAATGTCAAGAGATATAGGACTGGCTTTGTCATTTGCAGAATCAAGTGAGATTGGCCCAAATAGTCTAGAGGTCGAGCATACACGATGCTTAAGCAGGGGGCATCGCCGTCAGTCACTAACATGATGTCGAGTACTATGCTACTTAGCCAGCTGTATGATGGAGGTGATTCCATTGCGCAACACAGTGTAAGCGTCGCCAAAGGGATGGGCTTAAGAGCATTGCTTGACCTCAGTTCAAGACCACTGTCTGGGAAGACAACGTGGGAGCTCTAACTCTGGCAAACCTGGAACCAGGTCAAAGCACTCCTCGCTAAAAGTTCTATGATGTGAAGTGCATTGGTTCCGCAGTCACCTCTAGCCTGGTAAGCTCGAGGTGCGAAAATCGACACAGCAGACCAGCTCGCTACATGTTCACCACACCCTTAGCGAGAGAAGTCTTCGAACGTCTTCGACTTCGTTTAATGGCTGGTAGCGTGCTACAGTTTTTCATCTCGCGAGTAAGATATTTTCTCTCTCCTCTGGCTCGAGCTGCATGTTGTCTGTCGCGTTGGAGCTATGCGGAAGAGATGTTGGCGTCGTTCTACTGGTGCGCACGTCATTGGATTGCGCGCGCAAGCTATATCTCGCCAAAGAGGGAGAACTCCTTTTTTTTCTTTTTTGCCACTGCGCAATCTCTATCCAAATGTGATTGTGTCACGACAGGGCACTCCAACGTCACCATTCACTCGCCGCGCGATCTTCCACCGCTTAATTTCAAATTCAAGTGGTTGCTAGCGCAAAAGTTGATTCCATCTGATCCGTGAAACTCCAGCTGAGAAACCAGCCAATCAACACGTTTTTGCGAAAGTGGGTTTTCGCTCCGAGGGAGCTCAACAACAACAATTGATTTGAAGCTCACAAAATCGAAGGAACCTACAATAGAAGGACTGTCTACGACTCACGAGCTGCACACACCCTGCATTTTTTTATCTGTTGCATATCTACTCCATCTTAGCATCGACCATGAAGCCGCACCGGAAATAAACAACCAAAGCAACAAGAAGAACCGTCGCAAGGTGCTTGTGGTACACCCAACAAGTTCCAGTTTGCTGCTGAAGCACTCCGAAGAAGCCAGCTCCCAAAAGCTACCTGTGACGAAAGCACTGGGAAGAAGCAATATCTGTGAACCAACCGCGGTTACCCTGTTGCAAAGGCCGACCTGCTGACAAGTTGACGTGGGAACGTTGCTACAAGACCCTGCTGTCAACAAGCTCCTCGCCATGTAACCAGCCAGCCTGGTCTGTTCACTCAGGTCGCCAATTCAGCTGCTGCAGTCGCGACACTTCAGCAGCATCCAACAACGACGACTCGTCTCCGATACCAGCGTCTGGAAGTCGTCGCCGCCACTTCCAAGAGGTCCCCAAGACAACTGAGCTGGAACTGCCGTCGCGATCAAACAAGAAAGAAAGCCTGCCGGGAATGACAGCTCGAAGCTCGATACCGACAGCCTGTTGTTCTAGTTCGATCCGTCCACTCAGATAGCAGTCGCAACCTCACAGTCGAGATGGTCGGGAAGCGTTGTTTCACGGACTTCCTTACAACCACCAGGTCGAAGATCGTGGTCTGAGCGGACTCGAAATCGAGACCAAAATTGGAGTCGCTCCGCGCTCATTTCAAGCTAGTGGCTTTCATGAAAGACACTGTGTCCAAGACTCGTATCCCTTCTGTCACGAAACGTCGAACTTGTCTCCAGCATTTCTGCGCACGGGAGTTCAACTTTGGGGTCTCACCATTGAAGAACAGCGCAAGGTGCTCTCCCAGGAGGACGGGACGTGCTACGCCGCCTCGGAGAATGACTATGAATGGAACGACCCTGAGCAGCCATTCATTGAAGTTGACGACGACAATGATGAAGAAGAGGAGCAGGACGAAGACGAGGACGAGCACGAGAGCGAGAATTAAACGAGGACGAGGTTGATCTACGAAAATACAAGAGATGGAGCCACTACCACTACATTGCATGTTGTGTTTGTTTAGAGTTTGACATCGTTGTGCAGCAAAGAGGACTACGGTACAAAATTTGCTACCCCGTTCGGTTCAAGAGGAGTGCGAGAGGAGCCAAAACAGCTGGTGGTTGGCAATCACGAGGTGAACCTCCCGGGACTCGCTAGAACGAGGTAGACGTAGAATCCCCTTTTAATTTTTAGCTTATTCTTTTGTGTCATCCCATGTCTACATCGTACTGCACATCGGCCTCCGTTCGCAGTTCTCTTCACATCGCACATATGTTTCGATTCGTCGCGATTCAAGTCAAGGACGATGGCACGGTAGCGGCCGCGGGCGACAGCGACGGTGGCGGTGACACACCTGCCACAATGCCACCCATCCCAAGAGATCAGCAAACTGACGCTGGTGTCGGGGTCAAGGTCGCTATCAGTCCTTCCGCCTCTGGAGGTACGATACGTGCTGAACCTGCAAAGTCGTTGCTAGCCAACGTATCGTCGAACCGCTCAATGAATTCCTTTGTCGCTGCAGATCCGCATTTCAAGACTTTTGCGGGCCATGACTTTGATTTCCATGGGCAATGCGACTTGGTCTTGCTCTCTGACCCTGAGTTCGCTAATGGGTTAGGACTCACCATTCACAGTATGTAAAAGTGCCGACCCAAGTGCCACGGTTCGTTGCCCTCGCAAATCGACCGACCTCATCTCCACTTCTCATTCTGCTTGATCCAGTCCGCACCAAGATCGAAACGTGGTGGTCTTTCATTGAGGCTGCAGTCATCCAAGTCGGAGATCAAATGCTAGAAGTTCGTGGTCGAGAGGAGGGAGAAGAAGCCCGCTATTGGGTCAATGGATTGGAAGGCGACGAAAACGTTGCCAACGACACAAACCTCGCGGTCATGCAGGATGCTCTTGCCAACAACCTCAAGGGCTTCAAGATCATTCACAAGAAGGTCAGCAAAAAACAGCAAGCGTTCCGTATCAACCTCAACAACCAAGGCGACTCTGTCAGCATCCGAACATTGTAAGTACATGGATCGCTCGTGGCAATTTGCATCTCCGATGCTGGTCCCTCGCCCCATGTGTTCATGAAGCATTTTCTCTGCTCGCCATGGAATCACAGCAAGGACTGGGTGTCCGTGAACCTTCACGTCAACCCCAAGGCACACAACTTTGACGGCGTCTCTGGTGGTATGATGGGGGCCTATCCTAGCGGGGCTATGTTGATGCGCAACGGCGCTACCATTGCCAGTGACCCCAATGAGTTTGGAAACGAGTGGCAGGTTCGTGCCGACGAACCCATGTTGTTCCACGATCGCGCCGGACCCCAGCATCTCGAGAAATGTATCATGCCGACAGCCGAGAAGACCTCTGAAGAGCGCCAGAGGGGTCGCCTAGGCGAAACGCTCATTACTGAGGATGATGCCGAGCTAGCTTGTGCCCGTGTGAGCCCCAATAGCTTCAAACAGTGTGTATTTGATGGTAAGTATTGCTCAAGGGCTCATTTCGTGTATGCTGCGGATTGTCCTCTCATCTCTAACGTTTTCTTTGTTAGTGCTTGCGACCAACGACAAGGACATGGCCGGGGCTTATTGAGCGATGGTGTTCTTGGAGCAGTCTTTTTTGAGGGGACTGCTTGATTCGATTCTGTTTTCCTCGACGTCTATATATTAAGATCTACATGGATCAACTTTCAACGAGCGACCCGAACACATCCTTCGAAGCGCAGCCAGACAAAGGGTGCTGACAACACAATTCGGGACGGTACTGGATAGAAAGCAACAGTTACGGGTGCAGTAGTAGAGTAGCCCTTTAACACATCAATCAATACGCAGTTACAACGACAATGCAAACGATGGAGGAGACAAATACAGGTAGCCGGGTGCTACGTGGTTTACTCTGCGCTATGTGCCCATTCTATCATCACATTAGAACCACCAACCTCTCTTACAACAAACCAGGCTGAACAAAATACTCGTCAGTCGCCACGTAGCGGTACTCGACGGCTCTGGGGGTGGGAGTTTGGCATCGGCAGCGGGCTTCAGTGGCGGGATCATACTGTACAGTATGATGGTGCTAACTAAGTCACCAAACAGCGACCATTGTGTGACTGCCCGGGCATGTATTGTCGCGGGGTGCTCCGCCATGGTCGGTGCGTTTCGGGCGGACTCGGATAAGTGAGAACCGAAACATGCAGAGACGGTGAACATGGTGCTTCTACCGTGCCGGTACCGTAGCTGGTAGAGCAGTGTCAATCTCGGGAGGCAGTTCGGATGAAGTCGGTAGTCCGGACATGGGTTGTGCCAAGCTGCGTTGCTCCTGCGCTCCCCTCAGCGTGGAGCCCAAGCAAAATGGCCAGTTCGTCGCTCATCGCGGTCGTCGGGCGGCTGCACGATCGTCTCCATCCAAGTGGAAGCACCAGCCTCTCCCATGTTCCCATTGACGGTGACGGATTCATTCCTGCTGTGTCTGCGCGTTTGTGAGTTGTCATTCTTGAATAATTGCTTGCATTCAATCAAGTTGATGGCGTCTTCCAGCAAGGTTGCTACGATATACCGGTACCGGTACGATAGCTCGGTTTTCTCGATCTCGAGCTCCCCCAAACTCTCTGAGGCTGCAGAGCTGGTCCCGTAGGTTTACGGACCCAAGCGGAACCAAAGGCTTCGCGCGGTCACCCTCCCACTGGTCACGGCCTCACAGCAGCTATTACCAGGTACCAGTATCACAGCTCACAAACTCCCCCATAAAAGCTCCCAATTCCATTTCGAGACTTTGGACACCATACTTTGTACACCAACAGATAGAAAATGACTACAATAAGGCCGACTAAAGATGGATTTACTAACGGAAACCACCAAAAGAAATCCACACCACTTCCATCATCATCACCATTCTCCGCTTCAACAGCAGGAAAGTCAAGAATTGCCGTGGTTGTGGTGGGTCTCGTGACTTACTTCGTAGGACGCTCTGTAGAGCACTTCTCGCAGCCTGTGGCCGTTGAAAAGCCAGCAATAACTGTCGTTCCAACAATAACAGCCGCCGCCATCGTGAAGAAAAAACATCCTTCTAATAATAATGATACAGTCACTACAGAACAATGCAACATCAAACTGGCCACGTTGGAACACTCATGGAACCAACGACGAGATGCGCGGCGAGCAAAGACCATGGGAAATGCAAAACCATTGAAACACAAACAAAAAACAGATTCTGCAGGTGCATTTGATTACTTTGAGCCAGAAGCCGTTTGCTTTGACGACGAACGGTTTGGGACTTCGGATGCCGAAGGTGATTTCAAACGATATCATGCCTATGGGGATGGACCAAAATTCCTCTGTGGTGTCGACCGGCTCATTGAACAGGCACAACAAAACAACAACAACAACAATGACAACAACTGCTTGATTTACAATGTTGGCAGCAACAATCAAATTGAATTTGAAAAGGCATCTTCCTTAATCCTGGGATGTGAAATTCACACGTTTGACCCCACTATTAAAACCGAAGATTATCTTGGACACAACTATTCCAAATTTCACGAATGGGGATTGGGAGAAGATGGGAAAGAAGTTGAGCTCAATCACGCACGAGGGAAGTTCCAGTTTGAGGAAATGTCCTTGGAAACCATTGTCCAAAAACTGGGGCATGGTAATCGAGCCATTGACGTGTTCAAGATTGACTGTGAGGGTTGTGAATACAGTGTCATTAAAGATATCTTCACTGCCATTTTCAAACACAAGCTACGAATCAATCAAGTGCTGGTGGAATTTCATGCCACTGGCATGCGCAGAAGGAGAGAGAGGACCGACAATGACAGATCACACTATGTCGACAGCAAACCAGACTTTCTGAACTTGAGAGATATCATGTTGGTGGCGGATAAAGCCGACATGCGGGTCTTTCACAAGGAACGGAATGGATGGGCATGCAAGGGATATGTGTGCATTGAGTATGCCTTTGTCAGCACTGACTTTTTGAGAAGAGCCAATGCACATTATATTTGCTAGCTAGCAGTCCGGCACATGGCTTTGGATAGTGATGTCGTGGAGGAACCATTGGAGCACCAGTTTGTTTATTGCAAAGGCACCAGATAGATAGGAGGCTGACGGATGTTCCGAGCTAATCAAAGCGAATGCGATTCCCTGCATCCACTCCAAACCAAAATTTGAACCAAAGCAGTGGAGGGCTGGGACTGGACTCGTGTGGTCTTTCATGGGACCACGAGATCCAAGCAAATGCTATGTCAAACAAAAATTCCGCGTAGCTAAACAAACCGAATCAACTTGTTTCGTGAATTCTCAGAGGCTACTGCTGTCGCTAGCAGTAGCCACTTGGACTCGATAGCCAGCAGCCGAGACGAAGGGAGGTGACATACGGTATCTCCGGTATCTCAGTTGAAGCCAAGGTGATAATGATACCCGTGCTATAGGGATTGTGGTATGGCTCAGACTAAACGTACTGTACGGCTCATCGCAGAACCATTGAATCGAATCATTCCTTATATCGGGGCCTTCCCCGGGGAAATGGCTTGTCTGTCAGACGCAAGACACCGTCGGTCCAACGCTCTATCTTGACATTTCTGCTCTCTTTCTTGTTCCGCTTGTGTTCTTCAGTCTCCTCGTACTCGTTCCCGCAGTCGTCTGGAGCATCGTCTTCCTCGTCGTCGTCCATCTCCTCATATACAGTTTTCCCATCCTTGTTTACTACCTGTACGAGCTTCTTCTCAAAATGTGCATGCGTCCACGTTACGACTCCACGGTCGCACATGTGCTGAACTAAGCGTCGAAATGCACCAAAAGCAGAGATGTTGGTGTTGTTAGGATGGTCTGGTTTTCCAAGTATGCGACTGGTTACTTCCAAGAAGGCGTGATTCCGACCATCGAGGAGTACGCCCCAAAACTGTCGAAGAAGCTCGTTCGGTGCTCCATAAACTTTCGCCGACACGAGTGTAAAGAGCTCATCCTGAACTTGCTGGTTCGAAACTGTTGTTGCCTTGTTAGGCAGGCTGTAAAGTGTGGCAGTGACGCTAATGGGGCTGCGAGTTGCCATGGTTTCTGGAAGAGATAGATACTAGAAGAAAGCTACGGCAAAATGAATGAAATTCAGCCCAACGTTGTCTGCATCGGACTTGCGCCGGGTGCCATTTGTGGAGCATACAGCGTCAGAAATCCAGCGAAATGGAACACGGAAAGCGTGGAATGGTTTCGACAAGGAGCGACAGTCGACTCGACTCAACTCGACTCCCACGCCAACACGTTGACTGTCACTCGGAGTCCCCTCGTTCGTGCAAGTTCTTGCTGACAAACCCGTGTCCTCTAGCAAGAGCTGCGGTAGCTATCAGCGAGGTAACTCAGTTTGGCCGTATCATGACGGTACCGTATGATGATTTCAAGTTGGGAGGGTGGGAGTGATGAAATCGTTTCCAATTTTTAAGGCCTAGTATAGGTTTCATCCTTCGATTTTAGATCTCAGACTGTACCATCCCTGGCAATCTTAGCAGACAGGAAAGAGACCACACATTGAACCTCCAAGGCCGGCGCTGAGGCCAAACCCGACCACACCAGCAAAGGGTCCAACTTCAAATATAGTCACACCACTGGCCCCAATGCCGATGGAAAAAGACAAAGGGATCCATAAAGCAGGAATATCGATCTCTGCCACCCAATAAACACAAGGAACTGCAGCTGCATCAGTGGTAAAGGCAAATCCCTGAAGGACAGCAAAATTTGCACCTAAATGAAGCCCACCAAGACAGATTCGTCCCCATTGGCCAGCGCCATCAGAGTAAGACATGTGGGTGTAGGAAGCATCCAACCCCAGGCCACCTTCAAAATGAATGCCAGCATAAGTAATCATACCATCATCCTGCTTGGTTGTTGTGTTTTGCCTACTCAAAGGTGTAGTGGTGCACTTTTGTATGATTCCTTGCATGGCTAGCATTGGCTCTGGATGGCTTTGCATAGATTGCATTACGGCAGTTTGGTTGGCAGCAGCGGCAAATGTTTGAAACTTTTCTCTCAGGGACAGCATTGAAGACTTCCCTTCTTCTTGCAAACCCAATTTTGATTGGATCTCTGTTTCGTTGATCCCTGCTTCTGCAAAGATTGTGGCTTGATATGCTTCCACATCATAATTCTGTTGAAAGAGCTCCATTCCCTGTGCAACACAGCTCACTGGGGCACAACGTTTGCCGAGAGGAATCCCCAAGTTTGTGCAATCCAGGTTGGGAAAGCAGGGATTCTGCTCGTCATCATCACAGCGAGCTCCAAAAGAGCCACGAACTCGGTGCCTGTCACCTTCTTCTAGCCTGCGGAGAAACTCATGTCTGTTCTGGTCTGTTTCTTCTAGAGTAGTCAACAAATCTCTTTCTCTGTGAGCATGCAACGGTGTCCGTGCTACCACAATGACAATGGAAAGGCTCCATAGAAGTCGCACTTGAAGGCGACAGAAGGGTGACATTGCCATCTCTATCAAATTGAAGAATTGATCGGCGGTAGAGAGTAGGTACCGTAGTAACGAAAAGGTTACTATGCGTCAGAGGGGACTGTGGATGGGAACGACCCAGAGGACAGAGGATCAACGCAAAGGCGCGGGTACGTACTGGTACTGTAGAACCGTAGAACAGTACATGTATGCATAGCATATTGTGCCACCACGGCCAATTGCACCGTTCAGTACCGTTGAAGCTGCCAGCCAGATTTCGAAATAGTGTGATTACAAGTTTGGCGACCCGCATCGAGAAGGGGTGGCGTCGAGAGAATCCCTCCATCATAGAACTTCTATCCCAACAGCTATCCCAACCCCCCCTGTAGTCTAGTCTAGACTAGACATCAGGCATCGGGTCGTTCACCGTCGGTGACACCCTTTTCGCCCTTGGTGTTGTTTTACTAATCTGTGTCACTTCGGGTAGTTCCATTTGACTCGCTCTGAAAGTTCCATGCCATTCGGGAGAATCTTTCGGGGGAAAGAATGAAGAATGCGTTACTGGCGGCAAGCCAAGGCCGTTTGCAGGAGACAAGCAGAGAGAGCAAGTACGAATACTGGAATTGAATTTCATGGTGGGTGGGTGGGAGAGATGCAATCCTTTCCGATTTAAAAAAAAAAAGCTTTGTACGTTATTTTGGCCTCCAAAGTTACCTGGAAGCTTAGCAGGGCAACGAATGATTGAATCGCATCGTTGTCATCGTGTTCGTAGAAACTTGACGGGACGGTGCTGGCAATGAAACATGCATTTTCCGTCAAACTATAGCAAAGCCTCAGAAAGTACCACCGCAGCGGTGCGATCTAGCTAGTGAAGATACCGGTACAGGACGGACGAGCAACGCAAGCTGTAAAGAGAGAAACTCTTGGTTCTGGTTTCATCCTTTGACTTTAGATCTTACACTCTACAGGCCCTATTTGGTAGGCTCAGACAGGAAAGATGCCACACATGGAGCCTCCAAGGCCGATACTGAGGCCAACCCCGAGCAAACCATAAAAGGGTCCAATTTCAAGGAAACTCACACCATTGGCCCCAATGCCTATTGAGAAAGAGAAAGGGGCCCATAAAACAGGGATATCAATCTCTGCCATCCAATAAACACAGGGAACAGCAGCTGCATCAGAGGTATAGAGACCTCCCCAAATGATTGCAAAATTTGCACCTAAATGAAGCCCACCAAGACAGATGCGTCCCCATTGGCCAGGATCCTGTTTCTCATCAGACTGTTTCTCATCAGGGCCACTAAAATCAGACTCAGCCATTTGAGTGTAGGAAGCATCCAAGGCCACGCCAGCTTCAAAATGAACGCCAAAGTATGAAATAGCATCACCCTGCTTGGCTGTTGTGTTTTGCCTACTCATCGGTGTGGTGGTGCACTTTTGTATGATTCCTTGCATGGCCAGCATTGGCTCTGGATGGCTTTGCATAGATTGCATCAAGGCAGTCTGGTTGGCAGCAGCAACAAATGTTTGAAACCTTTCCCGAATGGACAGTATTGAAGACCTTTCTTCTTCTTGCAAACCCAATTTTGATTCCTCCAGGATCTCTGTTTCGTTGATCCCTGCTTCTGCAAAGATGGTGGCATGATATGCTTCCATATCATAATTCTGTTGAAAGAGCTCCATTTCCTTTGCAACACAGCTCACTGGTGCACAGCGTTTGCCCAGAGGAATTCCCAGATTGGTGCAATCCAGGTTTGGAAAGCAGGGATTCTGCTCGTCATCATCACAGCGAGCTCCAAAAGAGCCACGAACTCGGTGCCTGTCACCTTCTTCTAGCCTGCGGAGAAACTCATGTCTGTTCTGGTCTGTTTCTTCTAGAGTAGTCAACAAATCTCTCTCTCCGTTAGCATGCAACGGTGTCCTTGTTGCTACTGCAATGGCAATGGAAAGGCTCCATAGAAGCAGCACTGGAAGGTGACAGATGGGCGCCATTGAAATCTGTTAGGGTAGCGGCACGGTGGACACGTCGTACTCAGAATAGACTTTTAATATAAACTGATTCTATTCCTTTTTATAAATTGAAGGTCGGATCTGGTACCATAGTTTGTGATGGCCACAGTTAGTTAGCTACCGGTAGCTAGTTACCTACCATGGTCAATTGCACCGTTGAGTACTACCGTTGAAGCCGCCAGCCAGATAATGTTGGCGATTTTATTCCGCTTTTAAGGGCAAAGTGCCGGCAATAATGCGGTACCGGAGTGGTACTGCTGTACCGGTGCCACACTAAATAAATGAAAGCAAAAGATTGTGTTTCCAGTCAAATTGTGAGCACAAAGGAGCTTCTGAAGTTCAGTACCGGTGGAGTCGCCAGCCAGATTTTGAAAATAGTGTAATTACCACTTCTGGCGATGGATGCTGTCGTGGCAACTTGCTGCGAATTTTCTTTTGAGTCCCTTTCGTACTCTGCGAAAGATCTAGTTACGATTGATGCCAATGGGCACTGTTGGTTTTGTACCGTTGGTGGTGGTGGTATACGTAAGCAGCTCGTAGAGCACAGCCGTATAAAGTGGTGTACAGTCCTGCAGATTGTGGATACCCATTTTGCATTTCTCCCCCACAACTCGAGTGGAGTGGAGGCGGATCCTGTAAGCTTTTGCAACCAACCAAATCGAAAGCCAACCAAAGCACTCAAGATGATGTGTCCGAAACATGTCCTCTTGTCTCTCCTTGTCCTGTTATGGACGCCGTCCTCATCTGCCCAGGTATCTGTGGATTTGAGCAACAGCACTGGTGCTGCCACTACCACCAATACTTCTACTAGTACCGGTAGTACCAATGATCCCATGGCCACATCACCCAAGCCTCCAGCGGAAGTGGAAGTTACAGTCTTTAATACACAAGGGATTCCTTATCCGGCCTTTCGGTACTTTTCCTGGATTACCCTGGATGCCAATGAGCAGGAGGATGCTGGGATCTTGGGATGTAAGTTGCCAAAAGTATCTTTCTTTGCAAATTTAATTTTATTTGTGGATCTTCAACTAACTTATCTCACTAATATAATAATATTCTAAAATATTATTAGACACGGAGGGAGATTGGAATATCCCTGGAAGCGCCCTGATTGAACTCAAGGCATGGTCCACTGTCCAAGCCGAAAGTGACCCATCCACCGGAGTTGCTACTGCCACTACGAAACAAGAAAACCCCGAAATGAAAACCAAGTTTGAAGCCATGGTAGATCTTGGATTCAGCGACGAATGGCAATGGGATTGTTATGTCAATCATTACGTCGATTACTTTTGGTATGAAATGGAAGAAGAAGGCTTTGCAATCTACTGGGAAGGATTGGGCTGGTCCCAGGGATCTTGGAATGGTTCTCTACCCGCTCCCGCCTCGGAAGAATCAGAATGGGTCGATTTGACTCCGGCAGAGCAACAAGCGGCGGTCGAATTGTGTTATCTGCCCGAAACATGGAGCTTGTTGGATATTCGATTTTGGGATAACAACTATGCCGCATTGTCCGGTGTGGCCGTCGATGATAGCAATAACACCATTGGAGCACAGTTTGACGATGGCACGTCCCTCTCCGTCGTGCTCCCCGCGGACAATGTCAAGAATCTCGAACGTCCCGAGAATCGTTTCTATGCGTGGGATTCGTTGCCACCGGATGTGGTCAATACCGTCGAAGATTTGGGCTACACGGAAGATACATGGAGTGAAGTACAGGAAGCTGATATTGAAAAGGTCAAGTACGATGATTTGAATGAGACGCAAAAGTACGGTGTGGATGCCCTGGGATTTGGACCCAAGGAAGTGTACGATTGCTGGATTCATCACTACGATAGTTATTCGTGGGAAGAGCTCTATGCGGCTGGAGGTGCGTGCATTTGGTTTCTCTTCCTATTATTGTGTTGTCATGGATTATTTTATCAGGAATCATTGTTTTGCCTTGCCTGACCTGTCTAACACTTTTTCGACCTACAACCACAGTGCAATCTTACTGGGAAACGCTTGGCTGGAATGCCACAAGTTGGATGGGAGTTCATCCCCCAGCCAAGAATCTTACCAACACACGGTTTGAAGAGCTCAACGATGATGAACAAGAGGCTGTCCAACAGTTGTGCTTCTTTGCCGAATCCTGGAATAGAAGAGCAGGGTTCCCAGACGACTTTTTGCTCATCCCCGAAGACGGCGTAGAGATTACACTGGCACCTGGCTTTGCACCCAAGACCGATGCTCCCACGACAGCTCCTCCTCCTCCACCCGTTATTCCCAACACGACAAGTCCTCCCGTGTCGCGAGATGGAGACAGTCTAACATCGGCTGCGACTGGTTATTGGTGGACTAGTACTATGTGGAACTGTGTGGCGGTGGTCGGATCAAGTGGACTACTCTTGGCGTACTAGTTTGGACCCCCTCCCCTTTGTAGCTCCATGGTTATGATGTACCTATACCTCTCAGCCAGGTTGAGCTTCCTTCGTAGAAACCTAAATGTATATATACTTTTTGAACCTCATTGGTTTTAAAACAGAGTATGGGTGAATGCTTCTTTACGGCTCCTCTAGCTAGCTCGAACTGTGGACAGGCCCCCTTCTGCAATACTGTAGTCTGCCCATGGCCAGGTACGTACGGTACGGTCACTATTGCCCAGTGATCAAGTGTTCTGGTAGCCTTTTCTCTGTTAGGGTTCAGGCTAAACTAGGTTGCGACCAATGATCTTTCGCAAGATGCAGTGACCGCCAACATGCATTTCGGATGAACGTAGCAACCACTTTCCATCTCCGTCCTCTGGTCCAGCCCAGTTGCCTTCATAAAGTCTCCACATCCATGGTTGCATTTGGCTGTCTGGTTATAGTAGTTTGATTTCTTGAGCAACAGAAAACAATGAAGTTCCTTCTTCCTTTTGCTGTCTTGTTGGGCAGCTTCCCTGCCTCCTCTGCAATCACTCTTACAGAGGAACAAAAGAAGCTTCAAAGATTCTTTGACTGTATTGATTCCATGGAAAAGGCCGATGAGGATGGCAATGACCGAATCTCAGAGGCCGACGAATTTGCCATGTTCCTGGACAACTACAGCAAAGAGCTGTTTGAGGAATCTGCCCTCGATGGTGGGGATGTCCCGGAGGACATGGCATCGCTGTATGGAGATCTTGTTGAAGTGAGCTATCCTCTCGAGGGCGAAACAGAGATGAATATTTATGGGTACAAGCTTCGTGATGTAAGTTCTGGATGCTACGCTTGCCCCCCTCCTTCTTCATGCTGAGTGATCTCACCCTGCATTTCTTCTTCTGGTCCTTCCGCCCCACAGATGCCTGTCGTGACGGCAAAACGCCTTCATGCATTGCATTCGATTTGTGAACGTACGGCGCATGGTAAGGAACCTCGAGAGCTGCACTTCTGACGGCTTTATAATGTCCTTGACTAACTCGGATGGTTGCAACCGTTTCAGCCATTATGGAGCACGGGCACAGGACACCAGCAGTAAGTGCCGGTTACCGGTAGGATGAATTCAATGCTCTAGATGAGCTCCCTTTGGTTCCATCAGCAACTAACTAACTTTTGCTTCATTATTTATTGGAACAACACCAATCAGCCCCTGCTCGTCAGATTGGGAGGGTTCTTCAAGGCGGAAGAAGAGGAACTGGAGGAACTGGAGGAAGAAAAGGAGGAATTGGAGGAAGAAAAGGAAGAATCGTCGTCGTCGGAAGAAGGAGATAGTGTCAGGATTTAATTTATTAAGCTGTTGGCACGACACAGCTATGCCATTGGGAAACGGGCCAAACTGACGGTCAATGAAGGGAAAGTTTCCCGCGAAAATATGATGTTCTATGGAACCACCCTCGAAAAAACGTAGCGGTGAAGTTGAATAGGATTCCACGTTCGAAAAACACAAACAAACAAATAGTAAAAAGACAAAGATTCATGTTTCTCTTGCGGAAATCCACTTTGACCCTCCAGCGTGGAAAGAATTGGAGCTACACCGAGTTTATCACCGCTTCACTAGCTCGCTTCTGCTTCCTGTGCTTTAGTTTTGCCACCTTCTACAATTCTGCGAGCCTGATGATCCCAGACCTGCTCTCCCCAAGTACCGCGTAGGATTGGTCATGGTGGCTGGTGGCCCGTGTTTTGGGCTTGAGTTTAGTTAGTACTTGATGCTATCGTGATCCCTCTTGACGGTTCTTCAAAAACTGAACCGTCGCCTCGACTGCCAATTGTTGTTGTTTTGTATGTGGCAAATCTCCCGGAGGCAATGCCTCTGACGGGTAACTCCCAAATCCTCCATGTGTCCCGCCAGGAATACTGACGCGCTGACAATTCGTCGGTAGTTTTGCTTCTTGTAAATCCTTCCACTGTTCCGTCATTTTCAAGAGAAGATCGTCTTGTCCTTGCACCAACAACAGTTGCGTAGTCTCTGTCATGTTGGAAGAAGGCATATAGGTGGGGAAATTGGCGACACCCCACAGGACCAATTCTGGTCCAATGCTAAAGGAGGATTGTCGAGATGATGATGCATCGTAATACTCGGCCCACAAATTCATGGCGGCAAAGGATCCCATGGAATGTCCCGCCAGGACCCAGTGGCAATGACCACCTAACTGTCGTTGGACACGACGCAAAATGCGAGCGATATCCCACCAATCGGCTCCCAAATGCGGTAATGCCAATCGAAGCGGTTCCATGGAGGGAACGACTACCACATAACCGGCGTCGGAAAGCCGTGCCGCGGCATTGGCATAGGCCGCATGCGAAACACCAGATCCCGGCAAAAAGAGAATGGCTGTTTGTTGATGTTCTGTATCATGATCAGTTTGCTTTGGCAGAGTTGTTGATGTTGGCGGCGGCAAGTAGAGATCATAACGCCGTTTTCGAATGCATCTTGATTGTGCGACCGAACTTGTCAAAGTCTCGAAGGCATCTGGAAGTGGAACCGATCGTCCCTTCCATACGTTTACTCCGACTCCCACCAGCTCTCGTAAGGGTTTGCTCATGGATACCCAAAGACAGTGATAGGCCCAGGGAGAACCAAAGTACAGCAGAGCGGGAGGACGTGGAACAGTAGCAGTTGTACCAATGGTGGTGGTTGTCGTTCGTAACAGAATCAAGAGAACCAGAAATGGCACCAGCACTCCCAAGAGTCCCTGAAGAAAGGGATGCCAGTCAATATCAACAAATGGACTCCTTCGGACATTCATGGCGACACCCCACCAGGTTCGAGGCGATGCCAGCCGTGATAGATCCAACAACTTGGTACCCCATGGTTGTGGTGGTGGCGACAGCGCTGAACGAACCGTAGCGGAGGCTGCAGCGTCTTGCAGAGTACTACTAGAAGACGACATGGTGTGTTTTTCGCAAGAGAGTGCAACCGATATATCTGTGTGCTGATAGCTCGTGTGGCTTGTTGTGTTGTTGTTCAGAGGCCGAGACAAAGCATTGCCGGGGATCACTGACGTCATTAGATGTCAAAGATATTCGAGGCACGAATGATCAGGCTGTTGTTAACCCTTTTCATGCCATTTGGCACGGGTATCTATCCCTTCTAATGCCAAAACAAATTCTGGGTCTGCCTCGATCTTCGAGTGCATTTTGTGCCATTGTGACGGTAACCTTCTAAAATTTGACAGCCACCACCATCACCTTCGAATGATTCCATCATTCCATCATTTGGATATTGGTAAACAATTACAGGAACACCCGTCCACCATGTCGCTGCTTTTGATCCTCCTTAATAGTCTACTGCTGGTATCACCAGCGTTTGCCGCCGAACTTGTGACGATGTACCACATCCATCCCTACACTGCATCCGCCGACCCCAGCAACATGAACCTGGGCGATCTGGCCGGTGATTTGTTCTTTGATATTGCTGAGCTAATAATGCTGCTGCCTTGTAGTACCCAAGAAGACGCCAAAGGATTGCCAGCCTTTGTCGCTTGCAACAACAAAGAAATCTGGGGAGACACCAGTGTGATATCTCAACTAGTAGTGGAAGTAACAGGAGGCTACGGATCTTATGTTGCCTGCAACATTTGCACGGCTGACGGGAATTCTCCGCTCCACCCAGATCACACTTGCCAACCAGGAGACTATGTTTGCGATTGTGATGGCGGCAGGGAGTGCACCGATCCTCGAGTGGGACGAACCATCCCGGGAGGGCCAGGTGGGCGATACCATGAGACGCTTTGCCGGGATCCAGACTATCGTAAGCGACCTCATCAATTCTTTTGTGCCATTGCTGTGGCAGTGAACCGATTGAGGGGTTACTGGTATACTACTCTGGGAATTGGCAAGGACAAGACATGGAGAGTGTTGGAGACGATAAAGACAATATCCAAACAATGCCACCAGCAGTCTTTTCTATCTGACATTGAAGCTCGGGGCGATTGCTTCGAGGACGAGTGCCCCCGAGGAGACCCTTGTTACGTGGAGTGCTTTATCCAGACTACACTGGGATCCGAGGCACTGGATTCTCCCAATTCACAGGGAGGAATGTCCAAGGAGGAACTCGTGGAAGCTTGGGCAAGACCTTTTCAAGAATGCCCGGATATTCGACGTGGGTATGCCATGGAATTGGCCAATGCAATGTCCCACATGCTGCAGCTGTTGTAGATTGCAAAGGAACCAATCTGACCTGTTGGGAAGAAGAAAAAATCCATCTACACCAGAAGAAGCAGAAATCGGTCTTGAAGGAAGCATTTTTATCATGTCCGAAAATTGAATAATAAGGGATGGCAGACGAAGAACTCTTGAATAGCTCTCCAGTGCTTGTGGCTTGCGTGGCTTATTGATGAGAGGCTGAGAAGGAACATCATTGACGCTACCTAGTAGTATAGACAGCCCCCCTCCTGTTCGGTACTCGAAATCCCCATAGCTAGCTATGGTGAAGACCGTGTCGGTAATGGATCAAATTTTTGGATTTCATTGACGTCATTACGTTTTGAAAGATATTTTAGGCACGAATCAATCAACAAAGTTGCAGCGCTTTGCCACAGTCACCCTCAATCCGTGCACGGGTACTCGTGTGGATACCGGTAGCCCATCATCACCTTCAAACCATTCATTTGATATTGGCCCTCCCCTCGAGCTCTGTCCCCATCCTCATCTTAGCTCTCTCTTATCCGTAGTAACTCCCCAAGTACCATATTGGTAAAGAAATTTAGTAACAACCATCCACCATGTCGCTGCTCTTGATCCTCCTTGTTAGTCTACCAGTATCAGCGTTTGCCACCGAAGTTGTGACTATGTACCACATCCATCCCTATACAGCCTCCGCCGACCCCAGCGACACGAACCTGGGCAATCTGGACGGTGATTTGTTCTTTGATATTGGTGAGTTATTAATGCTGCTGCCTTGTAGTACCCAAGAAGACGCCAAAGGATTGCCAGCCTTTGTTGCTTGCAGCAACAAAGAATTCTGGGGAGACACCAGTGTGATATCTAAACTGGTAGTGGAAGTAACAACAGCTGACTACGCCCCATATGTTGCCTGCAATATTTGCAGTATGGAGGGGACTTCTCCACTCAACCCGGATCACTCTTGCCAACCGGGAGACTATGTTTGCGATTGCGATGGTGGTGGGGAGTGCAGCGATCCTCGAGTGGGACGAATCAGCCCAGGAGGGGGTATTCACTACTTTGAGACCCTTTGCCTGGATCCAGACTATCGTAAGCGACCTCATCAATTCTTTTGTGCCTTTACGGTGGCGGCAAAGCGATTGAAGGGTTACTGGTATAGTACTTTGGGAATTGGCAAGGACAAGACGTGGAGAGTGTTGGAGACGATAAAGACAATATCCAAACAATGCCACCAGCAGTCTTTTCTATCTGACATTGAAGCTCGGGGCGATTGCTTCGAGGGGTGTCCCCAAGCAGACCCTTGTTACGTGGAGTGCTTTATCCAGACTACACTGGGATCCGAGGCACTGGATTCTCCCACTTCACAGGGAGGAATGTCCAAGGAGGAACTCGTGGAAGCCTGGGCAAGACCCTTTCGAGAATGCCCGGATATTCGGCGTGGGTATGCCATGGAATTGGCCAAAGCAATGTCCCACATGCTGCAGCTGTTTTAGATTGCAAGAGGTTAGTGCCAACAATGATGGAAAATTGAAGGTATGCATACCAGAAGAAGACGCAATCGGTCTCGAAGGCAGCCATAGAATCAATTTAATTAAAGCATGGCAGACGAAGAACTTTCGAATGGGTCATTCTCTTTCTCTTCGGGCCACTGGCTGGACCTTGCTCTCCCAGTGGCGGCATCCAAAGGGCTCCATCATTCGCTACTAGAGTTGTCACGTATTTCTAGCCAGATAGTGGCCTTGTCGGTCCTTTCGGTGTGACCAATTGCGCGACAGTTTCAAGCAGCACTGTAATAAGATTACCAGTAAATTACGCAATCACTGATAGTGCAGATCCGTTCCTGTATTTTTTAACAGCTCTTTGTGCGAATAGTCTCTCCTTCTCGGCGGCGGCGATGATTGGCCATGCATTTGCCCTCTAGTCCTCGCCTGGTTAGCTCAAGCTTGGTGCCCCAACCGCTTTTCGTGGGGATCCAATGCTGGTCCTGCCTCATTGATTGGTACGGTTGCATTTCCTTAGTTTGGTGAAAGTCTCCCTGGTATAGCCTTGTGTTTCCATTCTGATAGGGCTGGATCAATGCTCTTCCTGAGACACAACAATTTCCCCAAGCTGCCGTGAGTATACGTAATCTCTACAGCATTGGATCAATCTCAGAACTTGGTGGCTGGATGGAGGAGGGCAAGAGAAAATGTCGACTGAAGGAAGACTCTTATACCCAGGTTGATGACAACTGTAAGAGTAGGTTGATGACAAACAGCTTTTGGACAGCAACAAAAGATCAAAAGTTCGACTTCGGCAGGACTCGAACCTACGCGGGATAAACCCAATCGATTTCTAGTCGATCGCCTTAACCACTCGGCCACGAAGTCATTTTGTTGCTGAAACTACTGCTATTTTCATGGTTTATTAACGTGTCACTAAAAATTGTGAGCGTTTGCTTTTGCGAGGCGGCAAGGTTTTCGCAACCCTGTTTGAACTTTTTGAAATGGAAGACATCTTTTTTGTTGCCACAACCTGACTTATTGCCGAGGCACTGATACCCATCGCACCGTACCGACCATACAGTAGTCTAGTCTACGTGGAAGATAATAAGATAGATAGTTTTTCATACTAGTACCGGTACCGTAAGCGTTGTTGAATGATTGCATGAACTTGCCGAGCATCCTGAGTATCGAAGAGGAGGAGGCATCGGGCCCATCCACACCGCGACGAGGACATAATAGAGTCGACAACGACGACGACGAAAAAGAGGAGGAGGAGGAAGTCACTGTGGCTAGTACAACTGCTAGTACTGTTGACAGTTCTGCTGCCTATTGCTTCGGTTGGAGGACACTTCATCGGAATAATAAAAAGGGGAAAGCCATCGAGGAAAACGAAATGTGGCGCAAAAGAACCAAACGGGCGAATGTACCCAGTTTGAACATTACCACCATCAACACCAATGGACCGCCACAAACACCACAAGAGACGCCTCAACAACAACATCATCAGCATCATCATCATCACCAGCAAGAACAACAGCATCGTTCCTCACGTCCTAGTAATGGTAGCAGTAGTCAAGCACCACATGCGATTGCAAATACGAACCACAACAACCACCACCACAATACGCAACGAAGTAAGAACAACACGGGAACGCTTCGTTCCAGCCTGCTGGACTTGAAAGTTGTCTTGAAGTGGAAAGATAATGACGGTGGTGGTGGAGAAGCTAGATGTCTCCGCAAAGAGTACGACGTTTACTCTCAAAACTTGGCCCACTTGAGCAGGTTTATCGATCGCACCTTGTCTTCGTCCAACTCATCGCTACTTGACAAAGTGGATCAGTTCCGTTTGACTCCTTCCTTATTGACTGCTACCACGGAAGATACAAGCACGTATGCACCACTCGCGGGAGTAAACGTACCATCTCATGATTCCCAACAATCTACATCCTCCTCACAACATCGAGAAGTGGTTCTAGACGAAGTGACACCGCACGTCTTTGAAACCGCCCTAAAGTACGAAATGGATTCCGTCGCCATTCGATCCATGACCCCGGAAGACGTCCTCGAGGTGGTCGACTTTTATCACAAGTACGAATTCCACGAAGGATTGCGTCTCTGTGATGCCGTCGTGCTAGAGTACTTTGTCCAGCACCTCCAGCATGATCATTGGACGCCACCCACCAATCTAGATTTGCTCGTCGATACTGCAATCATGTCCTACCGGCTCAATCTAAAGAATTCCAAGGACTATGCCCTACGCTATTTGCAGTCCAAGTTGCACTTTCAGCCATCTCCCTTTGGCCCCTCCATGTTTACCGTGGATCACATTCGTCTCTTGCATCCGCTCTTTCGACAGGGTATCTTGACGTTGGTAGACGACAACAGCAGCAATAACGACAGCAACGAAAAGGATCCGCAAAAACAGCCCATTCGACTGACCAAGGAAGAGATCGATTCACCCCTGTTTCCACGATTCTTTGTCACCATGGTGGCACATAAACAATGCAGTCAACAATTATTGCCCCGGGTCGTTTACTTGGAAGGGACGGAATCGCCATCTTCCTCCGACAACCACGAGACAGCTTCTTCGATCAAACTCGTGTTTCAAACTGATGGGTACTATCCCACGCGACAACATGAAACGTTGGGGATCAAAAAGAGCGTGTTGTGTGATAATGATTGGGCCATTGTCACCATGGCATTTGATCCCAAACCACAACGCCAAAACAATAGCAGTAGCAAGAAGAATCAGCAGCGACCAGCTCCTTTGGGCATGATTGTCTATTGGAAGTGTCCCTACAGTCGCTCCTTGGCCATTCCACCTCTCGAGCCGTGGATCCCCGTGCACAGTCGGGCCATGGGAAAGTCGCCCCGGGTAACATACTGTTACGACAACAATTCGTCGTCACGTCACTCGCTCTTGGATAATGACTGATAGGCACGAAGAAACATATAACGAAAGACATGCTGAGCGGGGACAAGGATGGAGTGCGCTTGGGATGATGATGATGAAATCGGAATGAACGGGGATTGGAGTGTGTTTGTTCCGTTTTTTGTGGTGTTGTGATTATTACTACATGTAAAATTCGATGCGGGTTGGGTGGGAGTTGGGTGCTACACTCTAACTGCGCTCCGAATGGATGAATGATTTGCTCCTCAGTCGCCTAAAACTAGTATACATTTATTTATCTATCGTTCTTTCTTGGTCGCGATTGAACCGAGCTAGCAAATAGATTGCAACTGCCTGACGTAGCTCCCGAACGCCAAGGTAACATTCATTATTACATGTACTTCCCTGATTTATAGTACAAGTCTTCGTCTACTTTGTGGCTGCTGTTGCGTTTTGTGGTATCCGCGCTTGTTGTAGCTGCGAGTAGACACGATGAGCGGCACCGACGGCTCCCTCCATGACTCCCGGCGATTGCAAATCCGTTTCACTGCCGGCAAAGAGCAATTGTCCGTCCCACTCTGGTTGGGACAAGACCCGGACCGGATGGGGATGTGGATGAATGGTGTTGGGTTTTTCGTCTTCGGAAATGTACGGTTCTCGCGGCCATTGCTGTACATGGACTTGTGTATAGGATTGGAGGCCTTGCGCCATTTCGAATTGACCGTAATGCTTCCACACCATGGCCACTTGATTGACAATCTGATCGGCCAAGGCTTGGTCATTCGTGTTGGCGTCGGGTGGCACTAAGCAAAAGAATGTCAATGCATGAACCGAACCATCCATGGTGGATGCGTCGTACATTTGAAAGGCTGGTCCCACATGGCTGCGAGGCAAGCCCATATTGGACATGTCCTGGCCCCAAAAGGCTGTGGAATATTCCAATGACACTTTGGTGACACCCGCCATCCAGGTATGACTCGAGCTCATGGCAGATTGCTTTGGGGCGGTGAGAGGTGGACTGAATTGAATGTGTTTGGAAGCCAATCGGGGTGGTACTGCCAGTACCACGGTCTTGGCGACAAAGCTGTGGCCTGTCTTGGTACCCACTCGAATGAGTCTATTGTTGTTTTCAGCACATTGTTGTTCATTCTCATTACTCGTCAATGTCAACACGGTGCACTGTTCCACGGGAGAGTCAAGATGGATTTGATCCTTGGGAAGCTGTTTTGCCAACTGGTGGATCATTTCAACGGCTCCACCGTCAATGCGTGTCGACGAAGGATCATCCGGTTGCAAAAATGTCTTGATTGAGGGAAGATCCTTCTTGAGCAGTGCCTTCATGTGGGGTTGATGACTGGGCCAAACCCAGGCACCACCCAAGTCAATCAGACGACCCTTGTCATCGTTGGCCAATCGTCCTCCCAGCACGGAGCGGGCTTCCAGCAGAGCCCACTTGGTGGCAGGATTGGCCTTGTGAATCTTGTGTGCCAACAAGACGCCAGAAAGACCCCCGCCAATAATCAGAACATCCAAGGGCTCTTCGGGATTCTTGTTGCTGCTGCTGATACTCATGGCTCTTGTAGTAGTACTGAATCTATCCTGGGATATTAGTAGTGTCAGAAAGGGTATCCTTCTGGAAAGTCGCATGGATTGCTTGCTGGATGGCTTTTCTTCTTTTGTGTTTGCTGTTTTATGAGCTTGGTTTGACGTCTTGGATCCAAGGCGGAGAAACTATAAACAAAGATCGTCGGCGATGGTGTGGCCTCCTTCGATGGAATTCCCACCGAAACATGCTCGAGCTGATTGAGGAAGCCTTGGGATCAAACAACCGGCGAAGCAAAGTGTTACTAGCAGGCTAGCTGGCTAATTGGTCTCCCAGACCACGCTCCTTTTGGTTACCCCCTCAGTTGCACTCTGCAATCGATTTGCCGGCGTTTACTGTGTAAAATAGAGTAGCCGCACTTCAGTTGCAGAATCAACAGTCATGTGTATCGTTAAGTAACAAGTTCCCTTTCGAAGGATTTAGATTGATTCGTGGAAAAAGAACCGTTGAAGTTACTAAGGTTAAAGTTAAACAATACCGGTACTCGTACTGCCCGAATCATTCCAATCGAATCTATCCTCTCACGTCGCAAGTCCATTAGGCCGCTCTCTACCGGAGCGACTAAAGTAGCGACTAAGCCATATTTCATAGTTTAGTCCATAGTTTAGTCTCTGGAGGTGGTGTCTACCCAAGCGACTAAACGTTGTATGGACTAAAGGCTTTAGTCAAAACGCTCCTTCACCGACTAACGGGAGGCTGGTTAGTCGGTGAGCGAGCGTAAGGACTAAAGCTTGTTTAAGAACTCTTTTAAAAGAATCAGCCTCATTGCACAGCCTCACTATCAGAGCATCGCGACAGAGCTGATAGAGTAGAGGTGCAAACGATACCGTAGAGGTGCAATCGATCCAACGATTGAATGATACTACATGTAGTAGTATTAATAGTAGAGGTGCAAACGATCGAATGAATGATAGTAGAGGTGAATGATAGTACCGGTAGAGGTGCAAACGATCGATCGAACGATTGAATAATAGAGGAGGTGCGAACGAGACAGAGGAGAGGTGCATCGCAATATCGCAATGGTGTGTTTTGAGTCTTGTTATCTCAAAAAAGTAATCACTTCTGTAAAGTCTTTGTTTGTTTGAGTCCTTTAAATCCACCATGCTGATAGAATATTGGTAGCCCACCAAGTGATCACTTTTGTTAAATCTTTTTTGAGTCCTTTAAGTCCAGTACTGTTCCCATGAATTGTTTAGTCAATTATTTGTTTAGTCGGCTGGGTAGACAGGTCCAAATGACTAAAGAACTGACTAAATTGTTTAGTCCTAGATTTAGTCATCTGCTGGTAGACACCACCATTACTAAAGGATAGTGACTAAATCTTGAACTAAACAACCACCTAAAGGATCAAACACGGGGGGTTTAGAGTAGAGAAATTAGCTACGGAAGCCAGCCGGGGCCAGGCTTAAGCAAAGAACAGTCGAAATTCCTTTAGTCGGTCCCTTAGTCGCTCCGGTAGAGAGCGGCCTTATTGAAGGCCCAGCACTGACTTCTCTCCCTCATTGAATTCCTATGGTAAACAGGAGAGAAATCCAAGCTTGGCCGACAAGAGTGGTGTTGGATCGATCGAACGACTGGTACGGTATGAATCAAGAGTGTTATTGAAGGTGCAGATTCGAAAGCCATCCCTCATTGAATTTCTATGGACCATGGGCAGGCAGTCAGTTCTCGGCCGTCAACAGGTGAGTTGTTTAATTATTCGAATCGATCGATCGCATCTCTATTATCTCTGATATCCAAGCCTCACTCAAGCCGGTTGACTCTGGTACAGAAGCGAAAGCCATCCCTCATTGAATCCTATGGACCATGGGATGGCAATCATTTCTCGGCCCATGACGGCCAAGTTGGTGCAAGTTGAAAAACAAGGGTAAGTCTCCGGTTGTCCACAGTATCAGAATAGAAGAGAAAACCATATCTATATCTTACTTTCTGTTCTCTTACTACTGACGGCCGAGGAACTACCATTGTCGACGATAGATCGCTCCGGATAACAAGAGGAGAGGCTACCGCTACGGAGGAGGAGGCTCTGTTAACTCCAGCCCTACCAACAGCCTGAACAGAGGAGCCTATCGTCGTCGAGTCATTGAAAGGCAACAGCCACCGGAAGAGGCAACAACACACAAGAGAGTGAATCCTCCTACCGGATTCATCCCTTCTTGTTATTTCCTACTGTTTTGGTGGTGATTCCTGTGTCGGTACCCATTTTCCTGTATGCGCAAGTCAAGTACTGTTGCCACTAGCTATACGGCTATACGGCAGCTGGCTACAATGGCTGGATTGACAATATTCGGTTGTGCGTGTATTCGTCATAAAGATCCAATGCGAGGTAACCGAGTGCAGCGAGCAAAGTCGAACCTGAGTGTGTTCGGTACTGTTGCCACTGTCACCGATCGATGAACTCTACGATAGCTGGCTACGATGGCTGGATTGACAATGTTCGGTTGTGTATGTATTCGTCATAAGGATCCAATGCAAGGTACCAGTAACGGAGTGTAGCCAGTAAAACGGAACCTGAGTGTGTTCGGTACTGTTGCCACTGTCACCTATTGATGTAACTCTACGGTAACTGGCTACAATGGCTGGATTGACAATATTCTGTTGTGCATGTATTCGTCATAAGGATCCAATGCGAGGTACCGGTAACCGTAGTGAGCAAAGCCGGACTTTCGGTACTGTTGCCACTGTCGTCGATGTAGCTATACCGCAGCCAGCAACAATGGGTGGATTCATAATGTTCGGTTGTGCATGTAGTCTATTCGTCATAAGGATCCAATGCAAGATACCGGCAACGGAGTGTAGCCTGCAAAACGGAACCTGAGTGTGTTCGGTACTGTTGCCACTGTCACTGATCGATGTAACTCTCTGCCTACGGTAGGTACCGTAGCTGGCTATACAATGGCTGGATTGCATCTATTCGTCATATGGATCCAAGTAGCGAGCAAACTGAGGAAACAGGAGACCAACGCTGAAAAAAGCCGAATACTTGCATCCGATTTGTCGTTGTCCCATTTTACACAACGTTTAGAGTGGGGAAATTATCTACGGAAGCCAGCCGGGGCCAGGCTTAAGCAAAGAACAGTCGAAATTCAGGACTAGGTTCTGTGGGATCAGGGGCAAGAAAGGGAGGACCATTACGGGGGCCAAATGGTCTGCATAAACAGTTTGCAATCCACAAGGAGAGGTCAAGATTTTTGCCAAGTCCACCCTCGAAGATTATGACCAGCCACTCTGATCCCTAGCTAGGCAACACAATCAACATACTCCCCCCCCTCGCTCCTTAACGTATCTATTTAGTATTTATTTCTCACATACTGTACATGTACCTGGAAGTCAGCTCTGTTTTCAAAGTACGCAAGGATCAGGCATTATTACGTACCTGATGAGCGGGACTGCCTCGAACAAAATGATCAGCAATCAGCTCATCCGAGACGGAACAGTTGAACCTGAGGTAGGAGGTAGCCAGAGCCACCCTAGCTAGCTAGGAAGTCATCAGCGAGACAGAGTGGGCTGCCAGCTCATAGTTAGACCAAGAACACAAAGGAACTTCACAGCATTCAGGTTGATTTCCATGGTGGTGGAAACCTGGCTACGTCAATTTCTATAATTGCCATTATACTTTAAAGTCGCCAAAATCACATTATCTAAAGACTTTTGTTGATACCTCCGGTGCATCTCCAGGTCCCACTTCAGGCCCACACCAGGATCCACCCCAGGCCCCAAGAATGCTGGACTAACTCCACTATCATCAGAATGAGTCGAGTCAGACTGAGCCACTCACCTGGGCATCTTCACTCCCCACTCCTGGCTGGTTCTACTCCTGACTGGTTCTCATTGATACGTCCTCGATTCTCAATCAAATGGTGGTCCCTACAAGACCAGCCAAGCGTACACAACACACGCCAACACAGAAATTCCACCGGCTCGCTTCGCGGAATCATTTGCTTCCTTAACATTCTTCTCCTCCCAGTGAGTCTCATTCGTTGGGGAAGACGTACCAAGGTGGCGCGTAGGACAAGACACCTCTTTTCGATAGTTTCGGCAGTAGTTTCCGATCGAGCTTTCCACTGGACGTATCGGAGTTTCGTCCTCGTCTTCGATTAGATCCAGTGCATGGATGCAAGCATGTGAAGTATTGCTAGCATTCTCAGGTGGGTAATCCGGAAGGCATTCTTGTTGGAACCAAGAGCAACCGTCACGGAGACAAGCTTCACAGGAACCGAGCGGGTACGATTTCCCGCATTCCCAGGGGTGTTCCGCCGCCACGGACTGATCATGTCGCAGACAAAACTCCAAGGTACCAGTACTCCAGTTTGTACCAGTAAGGTCGTCTTTGTCGTTGAAACAAAAGTCAGGCGTCGAGCATGGTGCTTCGGTGCATCGCATCCATGAATGGTAGCCGAGCAATGCAGCGTCCTCTGCAAAGTACGGGTCTGCATTCCAATATCCTCCAGCAGCAAGACACTGATCGCAGTAACGGTAGAAGGATCTGCGTCGGGAACAAGCAATCGTTTCGTCGCAGATTATTGAGTCGCCCGCAGGACAGGCGGCAACACAGTGACCGCTGCGGGACCCACGAGGTTGGAGCCATTTGCAGTGTTGAGTTTCATTGGATAGCAGCGGGGTTTGGGAGCAGGTTGCACAATCTGAGTTACGATGACAGTATTCGCGATCTCTGTAGCGGGTTAGTATCTCTTTGCAGATTTCGATTTCATCCTCGACGCACTCCTCGTCCTGTGACTGTTTGGAAATTAACGAGGGCTCCTCCTCTGCCTCCGCGTCCAGCGAAACGCAATCAAGATCAACGCGGCAATCGCCTCGATAGCATGCAGGATACGCATCATCTGATGTTGACTCGGGGTATCTCTGGCCGAAACCCCACGAGCAGCCCGCTTCAATTCGAGCACAGAATCAGCTTTAAGATTGAAGATGCACAAAGCAATCAGAAAGACACGTACCTTGGACACATTCGGTGCAGTTTTCCGTCTCTTGCGCGCAAAATTTGGACTCCGCACAATCGTCAATCTCCCTGCAAATGCCCAGGCACCGGCTGGCGACGCAACTTTCTCCCTCTCCCCACCACTGGTCCACCCACCTGCAATGTTGTGTTGGGTCGGAGTTGAGAGCCGTGTGCGTGCAACCTTCACAGGAAGTTTTGTGACAGTTTGCTTCATCGTCTGCATCCATCAGCTCCGTAATCGTCTGACAGAGCTGCTCGGCGTGCTCTGTCTTTGTCGTCACAATGCAGTTGTCGTGTGCCTCACACCCCACATGACAAGAAGCTTGGCGGGGGGACCAGGTGCAGCCCATTGCGACGCACTCTCCACAGGAAAAGTTGTAGTGTGCACAAGGATCTTGGCAAGAACCACCTAAGGTAGGGTCGTCCCAGGGCAGCCAAGTCCATCCTGCATCATCGTTTTGATCTTCCCAAAGCTCCCAGCCCAAGCAATATCCCGTGTAGTCGCTGGTGTTTAGAAGGTCACGGTAGTCTTCGTACTCGTCCTCCTCACCCTCCACAAGTGATCTGGTCCATCCTGGTGGCAGTTCCTCGCACAGGCTAAGGGAACACTTGTGTTCTTGTTGGTTTTCCACCATGACTGGCCAACAATGAGGCCATACATACCCATAGAAGGCAGAGCAACAATATTCATTCCGAGTCTCCACGCAATGGTAGCTCTGCAGTTCCTCCACCTCCAAACTGGGCGCGTAGGAGTAGCCAGTCGGACACGCTACGGTGTCCTCGAAAGCAGCCCCAATGCTTTTCCATCCCGAGGGTATCCGACATTGGCGACATCCAGGTTGGTCGTCCCACTCCATACATTGACGCGTTTCCTCGTGGATCAGAAGCATGGGAGGAAGTGCACCCTGAGCCGTGGCAAACAGCAGAAATAGGGCTACTTTCAAAAGAGGGATCATGGTCTTGATGCTGTTGTTCATTGCTTGTCATCACTCGAATCGAAAGTTCATTTCGAATTGTTCATCTGTTGGGTTCTTGTTTATCAGGGGTCGCTTCTCTGGTATCTTTTTGCTGGCGTGTTGTGGTTCGCGAATTTATCATCCTTGAGGGTGTCTGCGGCTTCGCCATGATATGTATCCTCGTCTTTGTTGATAGATCTTATGGGGAGTCTTCTCATTTGCTGGTTGTGGTTTGCTTCTCTTGGCACCGGTATCCTCACTGATTGGAGATGGAAGCCACTTCTCCGACCAATGAATGATCGAGTGCAATCCTCGTTGGATGTCCGCACTCTGTGCAACCAGACAACCAAGAGCTTCGCAATCACGGAGCTGCTACTACATAGATAGGCAGAACGATTTGCCCATTGAATCATTCAGCCAAAAGACAATTAACTGCTCCAGGTCATCCCATGTAATCAAATGCATAGCATATTTAAAATAGATGTTCTCCTTATCAATTCAAACAGGGACAATCACAACCACAAAACACGGAGGTACAATCAAAGCCAAGAACGCACTGCTCATCCTGGTACAAAAATGTAAATGTACAGGAAGCATTCTGCAAGAAACAGAGGTCCTCAGGGACAGTGCCAGATAACCCAGGATTGCCAGTTAGATTCAGAACACGAAAATTTGTCAACAATCCAAGCTCGGAAGGAAGCAGGCCAGTCAGCTGATTCTCAGACACCTCAAGCCGAGTACAGCTTGTCAACATTCCAAGTTCAGAAGGAAGCTGGCCAGACAACTGATTCTCAGACACCTCAAGCCAACCTAATCTTGTCAACATTCCAAGCTCAGAAGCAAGCTGGCCAGTCAGTTGATTCTCGTCAAGTCGCAGGTATTTCAGATTTGTCAACAGTTGAAGGTCGGGAAGCGGACCAGTCAGTTGATTCCCATGCAAGAATAAAAAAGTCAAAGCAGTCAATCGCCCAATTTCCAAAGGGATTGGCCCATGCAGTTCATTCCCACCTAAGCGTAAAAATATCAAAGCAGTCAATTGCAAAATTTCCAAAGGGATTGACCCATGCAGGTGATTCTCCCCCAACCACACCGATTCCAACGTTGTCAACAGTACAAGCCCAGAAGGAATCTGGCCAGTCAGCTGATTATGAGATAACATTAAAGATTTCAAATCCATCATTTGAAAGAGCTCAGAAGGAATAGGGCCTGTAAGCTGATTAAATTGCAAACTCAGAGAACCCAATGAAGTCAACAGTCCAAGCTCAGAAGGAATGAGCCCTGTAAGCTGATTGGTGTACAAGCTCAAGGTTGTCAAAGCAGTCAATTGTCCCAGCTGAGAAGGGATTGGACCAGACAACTCACTGGACGACAATACCAGACATTGCAAAGCTGAAAGCTGTCCGAGCTCGGTGGGTATTTGGCCGGTGACATCAGTAATTTGTAGATTGGTCAAAGCAGTCAACTGAAGAAGTTCTGAAGGTAATTGATCAGACAGGCCAATCAGCACTAAATCCAGATGTTTCAGAGCTGAAAGTTGTCCCAGCTCGGAGGGGATTGGTCCAGTCAACTCACTTAGAGATATTCGCAAATGAGTCAAAGCTGGCAGTTGTCCCAACTCAGAGGGAAGTTGGCCGGTCCAGTGGACAAGTGAAATCCTCAGAAGTTCCAAACTTGGCATCTTGTAGAATTCTTCTGGAAACTGGGAAGAAAATGGCGTGGGATGTGTTGAAGCTCCCGAAAATCGAATAGTATCACTCCGGAAGTTAATCTGGGACAAGGTAGTCAAGAGGGTAATTTCAGGCGGGAAAACTGGCAGGAATGCATCAACCTTGAGGCCTGAAAGATGGAGAATTGTAAATCGCCCTTGGCTGTTGCAAGGTAAGGTTGCAAATTCTTCAGGTGCTGCTATAAAGGTTCCATCACGAAAAAATCCAGTCCCACCGGAGAACCAATCACATTCGTCCTTTTCATAATCCATCCAACGTTCCTTGATCAGAGGGTTCCAGCGTTCTCCCTGAAAGGAATAGAAGAAGGTTGCGAGAGCAAAGAGCTGAGTTTTCCTCCACTCTGGCAAGTATGTGATGTTCTGGTGATTGGCAAGCCAGTTCCATGCCTTCCACTGAGGTGTGTCACTGCTATTGTTGATGCTGGCAAGAGTGTAATCAGATAGATTATCCAACAGTTCTTCCAGCACCCCAGTTGGGGCAAAGGATGGAACCTCCGATGGTTCCATGGATCCATATACAGTTGGCGTCTCTGTTGAGGTAATGAGCACTGGTTCTTTTTGCTTTTGGGAGCCAGCCACAAACCCAATAATAATGGTAGCAACAAGGCACAACCAAATCATAGCTGCAACAAACAGCTTCTCTTTCGCCTTTCGGTTTTGCTCTCTTTGTTGAATTTGTTGTAGGTTGACGGGATCTGCCGATGTAATCATTTGCCCCTCTTCTACAACCATGTTTGCCACCGCCAACTGTTGGTTACCTGTTGCGTTGTTGTTGTTGTTGTTGGTGGTGGTGGTGGTGGTGTCTGATGTGGCATTATTGGGTTGGCGTTGAGCCTCAAGAAGGGCATAATCCAAAGTAGTGGTGCGTTCCAAGTTTCCTGTTCCTGGCGCTCCCGAGAAGGCTCCCGGTTGAGATTCTAGTTGTCTTTGATAGGGGATGGTTCGCCTCAACATTATTGGCTGGATATCGTCTTGTTGGTTTTGTGGTGTACTCTCTCCTTGTACCGGTACATGTTTGACACTAGCATGACTGTTTGTGGAAGGAATTCCTTGACAGACTAGGGTTTGTGCGGCGGCATTATTACTATCATTTGGAGTGTTCTTGCTCAGTTTGTCTGCTTCATTAATTTCCAACGCTACTTGCATCAGAGCGTGGCGTTCCTCATCATCTTGAGTAGTTACCTGCTTGCTTGTACTGCTATCTGTGGCCTTGGCCATTTGATCTGTGTCTGCTTCGTCGCAGAGACGAGCTCCGACAACTTCTGTGTCTGACTTCTTCCCCTGATCTCTGCTGCTGGATTCCTTCATCCTCTTTTATCTTGGGAGCAATAGGAACAACGACAACACAGGAGAGGGACACAAGAACACGAAGAGGAGAGGATATCGAGATGGAGAGATCCAGGAGATTCTTTTAGTGGGTTGGATGACCCAGCCACTTAATAGCTACTTTTGGTTGACTCGAAGACAAAAAACCAATACTAATCGAGTCGAGTCAACTGGACTTGATGTCTCGAGTTGTGGAAGTTTGGGTCTTTTTGGTGCGCGGAGATTGACTCACGCAGGGTCAGCGGTGAAAAGCACGAACAGGATTAAGGCTTTTCTTGTCCTCCGTTGGTGCGTGCTATGATACTAGTATTGGACCAAAGATACGGTAAACAGCTAGCTGGGTCGCAACACGATACGGTACAGTGTATGGAGACAATGGCAACAACCATGGCACGACAAAGAAGCCCCAGCAATAGCTAGCTAGCTAAACACATGCACATGTAGCAGCTGCAATTGCAACACAGTTTTAGTACCGTAGTAAAGTAAGAACAATGTTTACATCCTCGTTCGTGAGGGTTGTGGGCAGTATGGTAGAAAGCCTGGAACGAATGATTGAATACCACGCTGATACATACGGTACTCAGCCAGATTTGTACAATGTGTATTTGTTTTTTCAAGAGAGTGATAGCTTCATGTTCACTTTGCCGACTGCAGCGAGCCGCAAAATATACATGTGGATAATAATATGTACATGCCATTCTTGGCAGGTCCAACAGGAACCTGAGTGATTTGATGGAATTGAAAGATCAAGCAATTAAATCAAACCCTGATGCAGTGGTCGAGAGAGAAAATGGTCTGATTGTAGTACCGCAAGTGTAGAAAGACATTGGCCTTGTGGATCAGCTTCTGCCGAGAAGCTTCCGGTGATGGTTGTTGGTACAGCTGCCTGATTGACTCTCCCTCGTGACCATCTACTTTGTGCCCCAACTGGAACCCTCTGACTACCTTTTCGGGCAAGAATGGTTTCCAGAGAGATAGCAAGAAGTTTGCCACTGAATTCGAGTTCAGAAAGAAAGATTCTCTGGAATTTTTGGGATAGGATCTGAGTAGCTCGTGTAATAGTCTGTCATACACGTGAGAGTCGTAGTTGGCAAAGGAAGCCCCCAAGCACTCCGTCATGGAGCTCATGCCATGGCGCATGGACATGATGTTGGGATTCAGAGACTGCAGCACGTAAAAGAAACCGCCCAAGAATATCCGCCATTGTTCGGCTGTCTTGATGATGCAAGGATCAAACGCCGCCAAATCACGGACCGAAATGTAATTGCGGCTGGTTTCCAGGTATTCCACCGCCAAGAGAAAGCCCGGATGTTGCAGTGTAAAGTCTTCAATAAGTTGACGACCCTGCTGTGACGAATCGTTCAGCTTGTACTCGTCCTTGAAGCACTGCATCTGATAGACACGTTCGCAGAGAGACTCCATCGGCTCGTTGTGGACACTGGAAATGGCAAACTGGACGCATTCGAAATCAGTCAGATAGCGGATCCGATCATCGGCTCTCACGGCCTCTCGAATGGCCAAGGCCAGGTCGTATTCGGTTTGCTGCACCACCAGAGTAATGTCGGGAGGGGCGTCGTTCAAGGCGGCAACTCGAATCAGTTCGTCGATCGTCCGCTGGTCCATGTTCTCGTCCACCACAATGAACAGGGGAACAATTCGACGAGCCGCAGGAGCCGCAGGTGCAGCTGCGGCAGGTGCTGCGGCAGGTGCTGCGGCAGGTGCTTCCATGGTGGTGCTTTACAAAAGTTCTAGCTAGCTAGCTACAAGTATGATGATGCCACTTCGAAGCTTCTGTGGTTTTGATTTATGGTGTTCTTCGATCTGTGGCTGTGCCGCTCGCTGTTGCTTTGGCTGTTGTTGTTTGTGTGTTCTGGCTGCTGTTGGTTGTCTCCTGTAAACTGTGTACCCTTTTTCCCTGTCGCATTTATTTGTCCTTGCCCTTTCCGCAATATCGGAAGTCGGAAGAACAGCCTCGAGGCTCCAGACGCACTTGTTTACTTCTTTTCATCTACCGGTATTTTTTTTAATAGCTATTGCTATTTTTAAAATTAAAAGAGCTGTATTATCTGGTTCTTTTTACTCTCCTATTGCGACCAGGGTGTGGGACTCACGTGAAGGACATGCAGTGAGTACGCGATGTGAGTACATGTACTGAGTACTGAGTATACTCAGTACATGTAGTCACATGATATCCGAAATCGTGAGTACTACTCAGTACATGTACTCACTTACCTCCAGATCCTGAGTATTCGGTGGGTACTCAATGAGTACTTTCGATCAGTACTCGCCGAGTACTATGAGTGCTGAATGGGTACTTTGTGAGTACTCGGTGGGTACTTTCTCACCGCGAAACAGCAAAAAGATCATTATTTTCTCACTTTGGACCCAATTGCAAAGATATATTCTCTAAGTAATTGATATATGAGTACTCAGTGAGTATTCCGTAGTACCCACAGAATACCTGTTGCACTACGCTAAAAGCTAGTGTAAAGATCTTTCGAGTGTTTTGAGTTTGAGAGAATGAAAGTTATGAGAGAGATTAGAAAGCTATTAAAACCAATCAACGAGAGAGATCATCATCAAGGGATCGTAGATCTGGCCTCCCGCGGGAGACTATGAAGTGTGATAGAGTAGGTTGCGGTAGTAATCCTACGTATCTCCACGATCCTAAAACGGAACGCGTGGAAGGTTTGTCTAGCATGGATCTAGTAGCGTGGAAGTACCCCACGCTGGTTAAATATCTAGAGCGATGTTTCATCATCAACCTAGTATGACTAGAGCGGTCATTGAGAACCCTGTCTCAAATGACTATTCACGAGAGACTCAGTCATGAGTCGAACTCAAACCCTATCTAGGATCGAGTCGCGAATAAGGCTAAGAGCCGTGTATTGCATTCGCCCCCTGACAAGGGTCACAGAAGGCGCGACAGCAGTCGGACAAGGAGAACATATGATTTAAAGTGCGGGGCACTCTCATGAGATTTGGATGTAGACATGTGCATCGCACGATGGCAATCCTACAAGGGGATCAGGCCTTGTATGGGTGTATATACCTTATGTTCCAAGTCTGGTAGACTGTGCCGCCATTGGCGGTAGCATGTCGGAGCCGTACGGTGCCATTGTCATTGCTTGACTCGGTCTATGGTGTGAGGACCTTTGTACTTTGGCTGACCGTACTTGCGGTGCTGATACTGTTGAATCATCACGGTATCGTTGACATTGTATTGATGAGGGACACGCGTCGCGTTTTCCCTATCGTTGTTTTGTTGGATTAGTCGTTGGCGACGTTCCTTGATGTACTTCCAGTTGGCTTCGAACCGGACGTTGTGAATCGCGTCACGATTGAACACGAGCTGTGCGGGCGTTGTACGCAAGGTGGTATGAATCGTGGCATTCATTGCAAAGCGAACCGCTGTGAGGACTCCATCCCAGGATCCATTCACGAGGTCGTCTTGGCACTTGATGTTTTGAACAGCGATCAAGTTGCGTATGGTCTGATGAGCACGCTCGACCATAGAGTTGGCTTGAGGGTTACGCGTAGTGATGAACTTGCGACGAAGTCCATATTCATCCCGGAGAGTCTTTTCGACTTCTGCGCGGAACTCGCGTCCTCTATCCATGATAACCTCAGCAGGCCATGGATACCGAGTAAGCCACGTTTGTTCTAGGATGATGGCTACTTCGTCTGCTGCCTTGGAGCAGATCTCTGCAATCTCGAACCATCCGGTTACGGGATCAATCATTGTCAAGCAATGAAGTGCGCAGGAATTCTTTTTCTTAGGATCCCCGACGTTGTAAGGACCTATCAGGTCAATACATAGTCTTTCCCAAGGGATCTCCTCGCAAGTCTTTGGAGGCATCAATCCCAGCTTACGCGTTTTGGATTTGTTCATCTGGCAGCTCTGGCAACGCTGACATACGGCCTGCACAGTCTTGCGCAGTCCTTTCCAGGTGTAGTGTTGGCTGATGGTCAGTTCTGTGCGAGTCTCACCAGGATGCATCAGTACACCATGGTACCATTCGACTAGCTTCTTCTGCATAGTCTTAGGTACGACGATCTTATCGTCCTGAACTACTAAGTCGTAAGACTTATCCCCTCTGGGGAAAGATTGCTTCTTGTAGTCGTTTGGCTTGTCCCTGAGGAGTTTCTTGATATCGTTGTCATCTTTCTGACGATGTTCGATCTCGGGG